TCGGAGTACTGCAGTTCCCTCGATTATGTATGCCACGTAGCTATAGAGTCGTACGTACACGATACGCCGCAGTTCGGTTCGTTGTGCCGTACCACCACGGACTCGTGTGTATATTTATGCACAGAAGAACGTGTGTACGAGCGGCTGCAACGATCTAAGCCACGGCACTTTCTAAAAGAAAACGGTTATCCTGGGAAGAGCGAACCGGCAGCCCGTTTGCCGGTGTTTGCCACCTTGAAATATTTAGCGAGGCATTTTCAAAAACTTCTCCACCGATGCTGGAAATCTCGCGCGACTCCCGTACGCCCCGGTAATGCGGCCGAACGGTATCCAAAGTCGTTCGTATTCACCGGAAGTAGGAGGAAAAATGGCCCCTTATCCCGGCCAAACGCGGTGCCTTACGGTAACGTTGAATGAATGTTTCAAACGAGTATTCGAAAGACGCAACCTGTCGTTCTACCATCGGCAACGACCTACAAACTAATTGAATGCACTCTCGAATTCGAAGCTCGACGAGCAGATAAACTCGTTACCGAGACTGCGGATGTGCATGCAAGCGGAACATGTCGGAATATGCAAGAAACGTTGGAGTAAATATTCAACAAAGGGTGAAAAGGTGGAATATCTATGTTTCTCGCGGCCGATTCAGCCACAATTTGTCAGACTTATCGGCTTCCATTTCCATTTTGCAAATGAAACGTTTCGCGGAATCGATCCGATAAGAGTAACCAGCATAGAGAAAAGTAAACTCGATTAATTGCGTCGCGGAGAAAGGAAACGTTGCGCCACGAAACTCGTCGAGGGGTGAAAAAGGAGGAAAAAAATGTTTCGATGCTGGCTGTGGCAGTTGCGTTAACGCGATAAGTCGAATTCCACGGGTTAATGAAAGGGCTGCGCGAGTCGATGATCGATCGACGGGCATCGATATTTCTGGAATCGACGCGGGAGAAGACGGGGAACCGCCTTATCGCGATATCGGATAATTTACAAGGGTGCGTAATGGAGATTCCTGAGGCACGGGGATTGACTGCGCCAATAAATTGCCATAAGGCAAGTACAAAGGACCCTAAAGCGAAGGGTGGAGGATGGGGATCGCGCGCGAATGGATAAGGGTGCGTTGCTAACGAACAACAGAATGGATTCGCGCGACGCATAATCAGAGGAAACGAATTTACGTCTAACAAGGATCGATTTTCTTGATTTCGCAAACGATTCTATTGGAATTTCCGAAAAGATATTTCGAATCAAAGTAGTAGGATTTTTGATCGCCGTGAGATCGTTTCGTCCCGCTGCGAGATGCAGGCTTAATAATGGGTGAGCGCAGTTAGCGGCACGTTTCGCCGTGTCCCCCGAAAATGGCTCGGAAGAAAAGAATGCGGGGACAGGAGGGAAAAGCTGGCATTTGCTGGGGGTGTGTGCTCAACCGTTCGCCCTGCTGTCGCACGACAAAAGTACAATCGATACAGTTTACTCCGGCGCGAGATTAAGGATCGATGGAAACGCTGACAATGGGCCAGGGCATTGCATTCTGCAGGCGTGCGCTTTCCCTGTTGCATCGTGATATACACAAGTACACCTTCCAACCCCCTCTGTGTCAATGACACGTTTGCTTGCACCCTTCTCGTTTTCGTTCAACTTTATCACCAACGTTTTCTTCGACGATCTGGCACGTGTTTCGGGCTCTATAGAACGTTTGTTAGAAACCGGAACTGGTAGATTGTTCTTGCTAAAAATATTATCTGAAGAAACTTTTAATAGTTTCGTGAAACGGATCGAATTGACGAGAGCCAAAAGTACCCAACCACCGTTCAGCCAGTTAGAATCGAGAAATAGAATCTTTCACAAATATAATCCTCTCGGTTCCCAAGCGGATCCGGACACTGGCCATCGATTCAATGGGTCACGAATGGTTTAACGAGCATTAATATAATCTTGTCAGGGAACAGGAATCGCGCCTACGTTTTTCAGGCATCACAAAAGCGCAGCTTCATGAGCGAGCGATTTTAAACACAATGAGGAGAGGATCGCGTCCCCCGATGCGCCCCTGTCGTGGAACGGTGTTTAGTAGCTCGTGCCACACCCCCGTGGGGTCCTAACTTCGGGCCCCATTATGTGCCGGGACACAATCGGTAAATTGTCAGAATTACCGAAAGCGAACGGGGATCGGGCGGGGCTGTGGCACGGGGACAGCTGTCGCGGCGCGGCGTCAGCTGACGGATCTCCTTCTTCGTTCCCAGTTTACGGGAAAACTTGTCTCGCAGTTTCGTAATTAACTGGATGTCTCGTGCACCGCAGGTCCCCCAACTTCTGCCGGGACTCGTTCCTAGACCTGGTATTATCTCGCGGACGGATAGCGCGTTATCGACGCCATTGTTTCGCGAGACTAGGAGAGGAACGCGGTTCGTCGTCGAATCAGCGAGGTTGTTCCCTCGCGTCTTCGAAAACAATGCCGTCGCGGTTTCAATCCGTCGAGAGTTGTCTGCCCGATGATTCTCACCGACAAATTAATCCTCGTTAATTGCTAGAGTCGCGTGCTTCGGATAAGGAACGATTTACAATTCGGAAAATCCGACGAGAGGGATGATCGGGTGAAAACGCGCGGAAAAGCGGCGATTTTCCGCGAGACGAGGAAGAAGGCGGTACGTTTAAGGTTGAAATTCGTGGAGGGTCGAGCGAGCGTTAACGAGGAAATTTAAACGCGGCCAGCGAGTAAAACGGAGGGAAAGAAATTACGAAGGGAAGAGCGTAAGAGCATCCCTCTGGCTCCAAGGATACGAGGTGACCACGACGGACGGCGATACAGAAAACGTCGACGGTGGTTCGCGAGGAACGCGTCGGCGACCGGGCTGGCCAGGCTTTACGAGGGTCAAGTATTTTCTAATTAAGCCGGTCCTCTCGCGTAAAACGTTGCGGCATCGTACGAGCAGCGCCCTCGCCACTTCAAGGACCACCCTCGTCAACCGTCTACCAACGCTTAATTCACTCAGCTTCCCTCTGGCTATAAACACGCGCGGAACGGCGCTCGGTGGACATCCGTTTCCTCTTGAAAACCCTAAAATTATTTTGCACGAATTCAAATCTTCATAAGACCCGAATAGGATCGTCGTCGTATCGATCGAACGGGCCGCGTTTTCCGCGCAGCACGACGCGGTCGCGTTTGGAAATATTCGTTAGCCGCGTTGGTTGGCAAAAGCGTAGGTGAAATGTTTACTTACAGACGGTCAACAAATTATTTTGCAACGGCAACCGAACACAGCTACGCGGAACAAGCGCGACGACGGGGCGGGGCGGAGGGGTGGGTGAAAATTCGCGGAATAACCGTGCGAGCGTATCGTCTCTATTACCTACGGCCTCGTTAGCGTCTATTTCATCTACAAACTTTATTCGCGTCGCTCGAAAATCGAATTACCCGCGTCCAGGGGCCGGCCTGGTATCGATGGCGCGCGAATGCTCGTGTCGGTTGAAATGTTAATGAACGATGGAAATATAACGACGACGGGGGCGGGGGTGGAACTGGTGGACGTGGTGTATGCTCGAGAGAATGAAAACGAGTGTAGGCGAGAGACACAGAGTTAGTTAGTCGCATCGGTAAATTACGTGCGACCGGTAGGACAGATGAGAATGGAAAATTAGCGAGGGAATGGCGTGGAATCGTAAACATCAGGTCTCGCAGTGGGACAGAATTTCATATTAATTATTTTACAGAAAAATATAGCTGTTACTTTGAAATTTTACGTTTCCTTTATTCCTTGAGACTCAACTTCACCGCGGGACCCTTTTAGTACGTTTGTTTATTATTTACGCGAAAAGTATTTCAATAGCCGGGCATGCGTGATCATCGCGCATGAAGACATCCGCTGCAACGATCACCCGGCGATATATGCAAACGAGAAAAAAACGGTGCAGAGGAAGGGAGAGAAAAACGTAATTATCGGTGGCCTCCAGCGATACGCTGGTGGCGTTTCATTACGTTTTTTAATTAACTTTTACCCGGCCCGTGCATATATATCGGCCGGAAAGAACAACCGCCCACATATTCGTACGTTTATGCATGGGTTCACCGCGTTCATTTGTTTTCTTTCACGGCCACTATTTATTTTTTTCATTCCCGTCGTCGTTGTAACAGCCCACGGCTGTGAAACGAACGATCGTCCGGCGGACGAACGAAACGAGATGAAAGGAGAGGGAATAGTTTTCGTTCCGGCCAATTTCAGAGGATGCACTGGCTCGATGACTTCTACGGGAATTTAATTAATTCGTTCCCGGTTAAATTACTTTCGCCAAAGCTGCTTAAGCCTTCTCCGCGGAGTCCTCCCGGTGATCGCCTTCTTTCTTCCGTGTAATTAGGAAAACAATCGGCAAAGGAAACTAGGCAAAGAAATCGCGTAAGGCTGTGACTTGCAATTGCACAGCTAAAAGAGGAGATGGTCTTCGGTGAAAGAACGGTCAGAACGGAAAAGGAAGAGGTAGAGGAAAGAAGGTAGAAAGGAGTGGTTCAATAGAGGATTATTAAGTAAAGAGTTCCTTCTGTGTTGAAGGATCGACGAAGAATGGGGATTAAAAGAACGCTCGCGGCCTTTATGTACCCGTGGTCCTCAATTAAACGTAAACTACCGATTTAAGTAGGTCAAAGAAGTTTTAACTTTGGTATTAAACGTTTCGCTCGGGATGGCTAGGATGCTGGTAACTTGAAAAGGAACAGGAGTATTACAAACGCGTAATGCGGTAGTCGTTATTCGTAGCTGATATTTTTAACAAATTTTTTCCACCGTCCAATCGACACGGTTCAACGATGCGTAATGCTCTTTAATTAGAGAAAATTCCCACTTCTGTCTCGCTTAATAAGCCTTCCCTTTGTGATGCATCAGTTAATAATACCCTCCGTCTGCATGCGATCGTATAATAAATATAATAATCATTGGTGCGCTGTGAACACGCGAAACCAATTTTCCTGGCGCCGTAATTAGAACGAGAGCAAATGAAGCGACCTTGTGTTTCAGGTGTTTCCACGTGGCCAGCCAGACGGAGACGCGTTCGTTAAGCCTGCAACGCAATTGTTCCGGGCAACTGTGACCGAGGAAGAGGAGGATCCGCACGCAGGTGAGAGAACGCGGAAAGGCGAAAATCCGCGTGTGCACAAAGAGCACGCACTCGCTTAATCGCATTATGCTAAGCGACGGGGATCGGTCAAAGGAGTCCTTCCTGTTCTGTTCGAATGGTGATTATGCCTATGCACAGGTTGTTCAAAAACTGGTGAAATTTATTTACTCGCTTTCAATTCTACGTGTTCCGTGCCACCTTTTGAACATCCTGTAGACGAAACTACGTATTTCGTCGAACACTCGACGAGGGTATTGTCGCGTTTCAACGCGTACACGCACGCCTGACCAGAAAATCCGCGAGTTTTCATATTTTCACGCTAAATTTGTCCCACCGCTCGACCGCACAATGGGCCCGGTCTAAACGGTCTCCTTTCAGCCGTAGATTTCGGCCATTAGAGCCATTGACGGATTACCCTGGTCTCCGAATCCCATGGACCCCTCTCTTTCAAGTTCTTAACCACGGAACAGTTCTTCCCGGGATGTCAGGCTAGGCTCGGGATTGATTTTTTGAATATTCACTTGTAAAACGCTGATGGAGACCGTTTAAAGCGTTCATTGTTCGACGACCGAGGAATATCACGGCTTGACGCCATTCTTTCTTCGTTCAATTGCGATTCCTTTGAAGATCCACCGTCTTCGGTTCCCTGTTTTAGAAATATAGATTTTTCCTTCTCTCGGATAGGTACGAAGGATAATTATCATTTATTTCTCTCACGTTTCGAGCCAACTTTTTCGTGTGATCAACGGTTAAACGAAAGCCACGGTTCAAACGCAACGCACGAATTATTTAATGTTTATAATCCGCAAAATGGCGCGTCAACTAGCATAAAGCGTTTTAAGCGTGCGGTCTGGCCGCATGTTTGCGGCATCCTGAAAAATTCCTCGGCTGATTCGTTGGTTAAATCGGAATGCTAATCCAAATGCGTTCCATTTTGCGCGCCAGCCATTAAATATCTCTTCAGGGAGGCTCTTTGTGTTTCGTTGTTAGCCAGAACGCAAACACCGACACGGATAATAAACCAAATAAACTTTAGTGTCTCGTTCGTTCAACTAGCTCGTTCGTGCGTGCTAGAAAGAGAGAACAAAAAAGAGAGAACACGGTTTTCGAACGGGTTCCGAACCAATTTCCAAGAATATACTGTCCACAGAGTACGAAATTCTTTTTTCTTCTCTCTCGCGTGGATATATAAATTATTTGGGAATTAAGTTAATTAAACGGCCGGCAATGAACGCCAGCTAAATGGAGGCGGAAATAAAAACTGCCGCAGGGATAGTTTCACGTATTCCGTTTATTGTGTTATTATTACCATTTTTAAAAATGATCAAATTTTCATTACAAAAACAAATTAGTATTATACGTAGACATTCTCAAGTGGAGACTGTCAAGATTTAAAGCCAGGTCTTGAATGACCCATCCACAGTGCGAGTATTAATCAAAGCGACAGCATCCGCCAAACAAATCCACGGTTGTTGTCACACGGATAATACGTATGTCCTTCTCCTTTTCTATGGGTTATGCAAACGTCCATTGAATGAATCCCTGCAGCTAAAATGTCCCCTCGAAATCATGGCACAAAGGGAGAGGTTAGGATAATAATGTATTAACGGGCGCTTTACGAGCGGCCAATTTCGGCCGCAGGTTTATTTGATCGCAAATCCCTAAACGGTCGAATCTCCCATCAAACGTGTCTCCGATGCGATTCTTGCCGGCCAGGGAATAGCGGATCGATAAAATCCCGAGAGTAACTTATTGCAGTCTCTGTATGTACACGCAAAGGACTAAATATAACCGTATTATACGTGGTCGGATTAAAAGAACGAGGATTAACCGAGCTCTTTTCATCCTATTTTCGCGAATACAATGATGCAACGAATACGGACACGCTCGATGGTCATCGGTACAAATTGATGGGCCATTAGATCAACAGTAAATTACTGCGATTTTGTGAGAATCGAGGATTCGATAGGATAAGGGTAGAAAAGCTCAAGGATCGTTGCATTTGTCTTGCTTGCAGTTTATTTCGTATCCAACAAAGTTGAGCAAAGAACGTTACAGAGTGATTCGTCGGCAAATTTTAGCGCGTAACTCAGCCAACCTGGATATTAAGATTCATCGCGTCGGTTGAATTAGAGCGGAGAATTATTTTCATTTCGTGATATGCAGATTAGCCGTTCCAAGGCGTGTAATTAATTCCGGGCGCGTTTAAGTGCTCGCTGATACCGTTACTCCGGCGTCGGAGCGTCAAATTTGTTTTGTTGATGAAATTTTTACTATTCCGTTGATTTCTCTCTTTTTTTTTTTTTTCATTTTTATCCGGGGCGAGACAAAGATTGGCAAGGTCGGCCGGCGGGTGGGATAAAAGCAATACACTGTCGAGGTAACCATTGATTTACGAGCGGGCGTAAATTTAGTCTGCATAATTAGCTCGATACGCGACGATTCGAGAGCGTCCCTTGTGTCGTGGCAGAGCAGAACCGAGCGCAATTTTCCCTTTATACACGGATTCCACTTCGTTCCCGAATACACGAACGTTCCTCTCTTTTTTTTTTTCCATCCACGTAGCACCCGTCGCGGGAAAAATAATATTTCACCGTTCTATCTGGCCTTGTCGCGCCCCTGGCATTGATCAGTCCTTGCCGTGTCGACGATGTACAGACTGCTTCGCCTCCGCTTCGTCGATCACCCTTGAAAAAGGCGAAATCAGACAGACCGTCGAGACACGATCGAGGGTGGACGTCGAAATTGACGGTAAGGTTATTTATACCGTACGGTCAACCTTTAATATCTGATAAAACTTTAGCTCGAAGATGGACGAGGTAATTTCGGAGAGAATATTAAAATATTCGTAAATACGAGATAACAAAGCGGAAGGTTTAATTCGCAAATTAACCTTTAACGATGATGTTGTCACGCGAATGGAGAGAGGTAACAGTCCACTTGCCAAGAGCAGCAATCCCTCAATCCCTGGTAGTTAAGCTGCTGTCGCAGGGTTTCAAAGGTCGGACTGACGAGATTTTGGTATCAACCGTTAAAAGTCCAACATACGAGAAGGCTGAGTCTCGTTGACGAGAGAGGATTGCATTAGTTTCGAGCCGGTTGAAGGTAGTTAACGCGTGGAGTGCGTAGATAATGCGGAGGAAAGCTTCGACCAAAGCTGGAAGGGCTGCGTCGGCCGACAGGAAAGGGGTTGGCGCGGTCGAAACAGGCAGACAAGAAGGGGTCGCTTTGGTAACACCTTGCACTGATGCCTTGATACACGATAAATTATTATATTCGTATTACGCGTCGTCCGACTACAGGACCTCCCCTGCCTCTCGCGGAACACCCTCCTCGCCACGAGGCTTCACCCTCTTTCCACTACGCGATTCTATCTCCGTAGTCCGTGAACAGGCTGCGGCATCGGGAAAACTGCACCGTTTTGTTTTTGCCGGACGATTTATTGCCGGGAACGCGAGCTCGTTGGAACTGATCGCGGTTACGTGCCAGCCTGCTGACATTACGACCCGTCCACCGTTGTTGCCTTACACGTTCTACTCTTCTTTACGTTTCCCGTCGCGTTCCTTCGGATAATTGCAGGGGTTAAACGACGCCGTGGAAAATTCACGTTCAAACCCCTCGGAAATTCGTCGGTTTCATTCCTCGAAGCTGAGCTCACTTGAAATACTTATTTCGTATACTATGTCAAATTTAATTGCCTTATCATTCACTAACCCCTTCAGAAGCAGTCGTTGCTCGAGGAACTCTCAATTCCGTCATCTTCAGCGAATAAATTAAACGGTACAGAAAAATAAACGAGTCTGCTATATCGAAGACGAAATTAGACGGTCGATTAAAAGTCTCGCGACGTTCAATCAGCAATCTTTAACGAAGCTCCCGGGAAATCTTAAGAATTTTCTCTCACCGACTATCGAGTTGACGACTTTTTTTACAAGACTGTACCGAGTCATCCACCCCCGAACAGTCACACTGTATCGTTTCCACGAAAAGTACCAACCTGCTGAGCATCGTCTTTGTACTCGTACTCGTGCTACACGACTTTCGTATTACGAGTGTCCTCTCTCTTTTCCCCGTTGCTAATATTTTCATCCGAGATACGTGCTCGGTAATTCCTTCGGTTGAAAGGGAGCGATACTTGTGCGCGAATCGAGGAATGAGGCAGACGAGAACGAGACGTCCTCTTCGGGTTGGAAGTTGATTTTATTTAAATTTTAAATCCGAGATCTTTACGAGGTTGAATAGGCGGCGGGCTCTTGGTAGAGGGTAAACTGGATGTTCGAAGAGGGGAGGGGAAACGAGGATGTAAATGGGTGACGGGATACGTTTAGCCGGGCTCGAACTAACGAAATCTTCCAGGCAGAGTCATATTTCGCGGGGGCGGCTCCGTTGGCTGGCTTTTGCCGGCAGGAAACTTCCGTCGGTTCAGCGAATTTTAAAGGCAATCGATCAACGTCCTGCCGCCAGCTGCTAGGGGAAAAGTGCTCGCGTGCCGACGGTTGTTGAAGCTCTTCGTGACGAAGTTAATAGCGTCCCGCGACGGACACGCGAGAGGAACACCGCCACGAAGAAATTGCCGCAAAACCTTCTGGCTCGCACTCGTCGGCCCTTGGAAAATGCGAAAATGTTCGTTAACGCGTTCGACAGCCTTTACACCGGGTTTAGAACGTTTGCGCGACCAAACGAGCGTCTTTAAGCTGTCTCCGACTTTTTGTCGATCCTTTGGATCGTTTCTTGCGAGCTTCCTCCTCTGTTCATCTAGAAAATCGTTCCCCAAGGGTATACATTCGAAAAATGTCTTGGAAATATTTTGGAGCGTGTAAATTTGATAATTTACTTCGAGCAACAAGAGAAGGAGGCGGTTATCGATAAAGATTCGAGGATTCGAAGGGAAAGGAGTCGATGCGGGGGAAAAAAGGACGATGAGAGAGGGTGGCGGCGTTGGCAGGTTCCTTTCATCCGAAGATCTCATATCCTTTTGCCGAAAAGTTACTAGCGTCGTG